ATTTATATTTTTGCTTTTTTTCGATGTTTTGTTGTATGTAATATCTTATTGATTTATGCAAATTTATGCAAATTTACACATGTTTTCGTATGTTTTTGATTTTGTTGTTCGTAAATATTCATAATTTTACGCATGTATTCGCTAGTTTTCGACTATTTGCATTTTGCTATATTTAAATTTACTAAGCCATAAATGTTTGTAATTATTACTCCTACATAATACTCCGAAATTCTATAGCATAAACTTTCGTAATTATTACCCCTACGTAATACTCTGAACTAATCGTAAGTTTTTCATAAGTTTACGCTCGTGTAAAAACTTACGGAGTTTTACATATATTTTTTTTTGCTGATGTATTAAGCAGAAATTTTTCAATTTTTACACTGTGAGTGAGAGTTGGTAAGAGTTGATGTAGAGTATTTATAGGTTTGATTTGGGGTGACTTGTATAGTGGCCCATCAATCTTATATATGGTATCTGATTAGTGATCTGTTGCATGTGTTCTACGAGCCCCTATCCAAGGTACCCAAGTGGGACCCTAAATTTATAGGTGGATTGAGCGCTTAGTGTATTCGATCTCTGAGCCACCATCCCTGGTACCCAAGTGGGATCCCTAAATTTATGTGTTACGGGGTGGATCGAGCACTTAGACTGGTTTTTCGAATTGTTGACTGTGGACAACATACATCACTAATTTATTGCGGTTTGCATAATTTTTGTGACCCTATGCTAATTTTTTTCATGGTTAAATGATTGTGATTGTGGTCGCGATCGTTAAAGCCGGCCAATTTATTATAAATCTGAGATTCATAATAATTGGCTGGCTTTAGCAATCGCAATCGCAATCACAATCATAATCATTTAATCATAAAAAAGTTAATCATAGGGGTCACAAAATTATGCAAACCGAATAATTCGAAATCAGAAACCTGAATCTTAATTCTGAATCACCCTATTTTATCTCTGACGCTTTCAGTACAGTACAAAATTGTTGACAAGTCAGATATAACAGCGGTTACTTCAGACAAGCTAGGCGTTTTTAAAATATTTATTATAGATGAACAAGCTAAAGGTTAGTTTTAAATCTATCAATACTTTCGTTTAATTCTCTTTTTGATCTATATTTTATAATATCCATTATATATTAAACCTTTTAAATAATATGGTAGTTAACACGTCGATACGTCATAAATCGGAATAGATTGGTTACGCAACCAAAATTCAGCAGATCGACCAAATTCCGGGATGGAGTGGATCGGAATTGATAAATTTTACTAACGCTAATAATCCAGTAACCCACGCGCTAAATAAAAATTGCCCAGACACTAATTTAGTTATAATATGTAAGAATAACTAACGACGGTATTGATGGATAAAATGATGAATGAACAATATAACATGTAAAGTATAATACAATATTATGAGATAAGATTGGAAATAAAAAATAAAATGAATAAAAAAGTAACACACTAAGATAAGTTAAATGTATAAACTCAAAATGTATACGTAGAAATCATTTATGCACTACCAAAAGAAAATAAAGCGCTTCGGACTTTCAAGATTATCATTTATTATTTATCAAATTCAGCTCGTGAAAATCTGATAAGAGCAGTGTCATTTATCACCTGATTTTTTTTTTTATTAGAAGCTTACCCCCTTCCCTTCTTAATATATACCTGATCAGGTTCTTTATATATAATTTTAACTTATTTCTATGCCATTTTTGTAAGAGATCAGTAGAATATCGGACATTGATATGTCTGATATGTCTGATAACTACCCGATTTTTGGCGTGTATTTTCACCTATCGGAAGGATGTCGGCTCCCACAAAATTGCAATTTTTAACCAATCAAAATTTGATCAGATGTAACGTGATAGTCAAAACAAGAAAACCGTAGGGTAGGGTTAGGTTTAGGTTTAGAATGATGCAGTGCCTATTAGTAAAATTTCACAAGGACATTTTTAATTAAGCCACAGAAGGTGGTTCCTAATTAAAATTTAGAGCTATTAATTCATTTTTACGTTACATTTGATCCTGAATTCGATTGGCCAATATTACAGGAGATGAACAATTTTTGTGGAGAGCTAGGGGTTTTATGTAGGGATGTTACTTGGTCCTAAAGATCGGTCCTAGCAGAGGATCGCGGACTGGACCGTGGTCCATAATTCTCAAATTTCGACAAATCTTGTTTAGAATTTTGAATTATATATTATTTTTAATCCAGTCAGTATATTCTTGATCATATCGAACTTTTTTTATTAGTGCCTTGTCTTAGCGTATATTCGGAACCTTCTTTTTAGTTCTGTCGGTTGGCAAGAACAGTCTTTGCCATAAATTTTCGCATAGACTCAATACACCAAACATACTGGGCTTGTACTCAAGCGAGGACTTAATATTAATATTCAACGTGTTAACTTTGTAGTACCGTTTAGAATGCTGTCACTCATATTAAAAATATATGTGAATCACGCCCCAAACTAAAAGTTTATCACTGCCGAATCAAAAATTTATGAGAACACCTGTAATATTTAAGATGACCGGTTAGCTTATCAGGTTAACTTAAAAGATAATATAATAATAATACATATATGAGCGACGCCAAGGAAAAATGATATAAAACTTATATAATTGATGTCCCATTTCCCTTGGCGTCATTTATATGATATCTAAATCAGATATATTACAGCTGTTTCAAAAAGGTGTAACCAAGCGCAAACCAGGGAAATCCACGCGAATTCTTTGATTTCCTCGATTTCCCTTTGATTCCCTTATTCGCGGAATCAAGGAAATCAGAGAAATCATATATGTGGTTTCCTCATGATATAGTAGTTTGCACCTGGTTACACCTTTTTGAAAACAGCTATAATTATAAACAAGATAAAGCAGATGTGAATAATTTTCGAATAGAAAAAAAAATAAAAATGCAACTAATTGCATTTACTTAATAAGCTTCACCGATAGCCCATTTAACTGACATCATATGTTAGAGTTTTACTTGGCGTGATGCCGACTAAATGAGCTGTCGGTAAATAATTGTCGGTGAAACAAGAGGGAATCGCTAATTACAGTGCGATTGAAATTCTCCTTATAAGGCCTGAGCAAATGTCCCAAATTAGATTCTATACAATATAAAAAAATTATATATGTACAATAGTTATTCATAATGTAGTCATATAAAATAAGGCAAATAATGTTTTATATCTAGTTAAATAAATTAAAAGTCTAGGTGATCGTTATAAAAATTATATAACAGCGCATTCTTTATAGAGGTTATATCCGGATGTAACAGTTACTATTACTTCGATAGGGTATAAAGCCGGATATTAGATTTATTAAAGGTTATAACCTTTCGGGTAAAAAGTTAACCGGAGTATGACCACTAGACAAAAATAAATCGTATAAGGGGCAATAGGGATCCGCAATGACCATTGCCGGGCATATCGGAACTAGTGCCTAGCCTATACTCAGGCGCGAAAGTTCCGAGCATAATTGTAAACACGCATATAAAGATCAAAGCGCCTCACGTCCTAGTGCCTATTAATTTGTTGACTAGCTTATAATACAAGGTACCCAACGTGTGCCTAGAAAAGGACAATATACCCATGCTACGTACTGTATCAATATTTCCACATATGATAGTCACTTAAATTATTTAACAGATATATTAATGTTGTGCTTGCCAATGTATCTACACTGTGCTTGAAACTATTCTGTGAACGGATTGCTATCGCCGCCGAAGTACATGCATATCGATATATAATACTATGCAGTGTTGTGCAACTGTTTGTTCATTGGTAATTGTCACTTACTTTTGTTGTCTTATTTATCATGTCGCGTAATAGATAAGACAATAAAAGGATGCGACAATTACCAATTGACAAACCGTTGCAACACTGATACTATGTGCCGTCAACGTTAAATCAATGGTTTGATTGATTGCTTAATTTCACCGAATTTTCAAAACTTCAAGAAAGTAAAACCATGTTTTCGCATTTTTTCATTTACCGATTACATTGAATTGGCGACCCACCTAGTATCGCCACCAAAATCATGTACGTAATCGGGTTTTAAATTTATTTTCCGACATTAAATTTAACGT